CATGACGTTAAAATATCTAGACATTTAGGGCATAAAAAGATTCTAAAATAAATCTCAAGGATATAATTTTGGAGAAGTTTGGATCATAATGTTTGAGCTTTTGTGTACTCTTAGAAGTCATGCTAATGTAAGTACTCAACGAAGTAACTTCTAGACTATTGTAGTCAATTCTACTACCTATGGCTCATTGGAAGCAAGTGACTATGGATCTTAATATGTATTTGCTGCAGACACCTAATAATTATATTGCAATTGTTGTCTTTGTCGACCAACTCTCAAAGCAACTTTACTTGGTTGTGGTACGCTCTAATATCAATGTTGTTAGACATGTACTACTCTTCTTTAATATTATCTTTTGTCACTATAGATTACTTCGTGTCATTGTTTAGATCAAGATCCATACTTCACAAGAAGCTTTTAGCAGGCTTTATTTAAGATATTAAATACATAACTTTCTACATCTACAACCTTCCATCCTCAAACAGATAGACAAATAAAGCATTGTCATACTATAATTATTTATAATATATAAAAAATATCTAAAATATATAATATATTTATAAGTACTGATGAATATTAAAGTATTTAGTAGGTTAATTTAAAGAAAGTTGATGTAAGAAAATTTATTTTGAAATTACCTATTTTGATTATAATATTTAAATTATATAGGATTTAAATATTTAATATAAAATTTAAAGAAAATATTGGAGCTCAGAGATGAAGATTAAAACCTCTTATAAACTTATTTGGAGAGATGAAAATAAGGTATGGATGAATGAAAGCAAAGAGTGAAGATCTTCATTCCTATTGGTTAAAAGCGATATCCAATAGGCTTTCAAGAGACTTTCTATGACCATAATAAGAATTTTGGTGACTTCAAAAGACATATTTAAGAATCAAAAGTAAAGATTGTAAGATTTAGAATTTGAATTACAACTTATATATAAATTTTAAAATATTTGGAATTATAATGATAAAGTTATAGCCATTTGAAGTTAAGGTGTCTTTTTAAGACATATTTTTGCTCTTTTGAAGATACAAGGAGTTTCATAACAGATTTTGGAGATTAAAAGGTGTAACTACAAGGATGATTTCAAGACCTATATTTTTTGTGGAAGAATTTCTGCATTTAGAGTTTTTATAAAGGAGTTATGTAGCATTAAAGATAGCATATGTAATTCAAAGTTAGTAAGTGAGTCATTTTGTTGATAGTAATGATTGAAGCCATATCTTGAATTTTTGGACGAATTTTTAGTTCTATATTTCTAAAAGTATATGTTATAAGGTTAAAAAGATATATATCAAAATTTTATGGTATTTGACTACTTAATTTATAAGATATAAAGAAAATTACAAAAAAGTATATGTAAGTAAGGATTTGAAGCTATTATTAGGATTTTGGTGATATCTCAAGATTCATAATAAATTTGTAATTGAAATTTGCTATAGTAATTACTGAAAGTACATCAATACTTTGTATAAAATTTTGGTTTATTTAGATGGTCCAATTGTAAGATATGAGCTATTGAAATTTAGAAAAAAATTACCTTAAGGATATATAAGGTTTTATAATATTTTTATTTAATTTTTGATAATCTTTAGTACTTAAGGCTTCTCCCACATATTTCAGTTCATCTGGTCTTCTATATTTTAAAATTCAAAGAATTTGATACTAAGCCAAGGTACTTTTTGGATCAATACCAATTGCTACTACTACTACTAGTTGTGATTGATGACCAACAAGAGTATGAAGTGAACAATATTTTGGAGCATTGCTACTTTTTTTGTTGCATTGGATGTCCACAACTTCAATACAAAGTCCTTTAGAAAGGTTATTCCATCTATGATGCAATATTGGAACTTGCATAAAATCTCATTCATTATCAAGGAACAATTTAGAAATACCATTGGAAGCAAAACAAGGACATTTTGTATTAGTAGAGGGAGATTAACTATAATAAGGTATGAATAAGATATTTATATTATTGACGCATAGAGATAGGTAGTTGAAGCCATATTTGAGGAGTTTCTAGAATTAAGGCTTGATTAGTGGTCTATATGGAATCTTCTATAGAACATTCTAAAAAGGACTTAAGGTAATTATCTAGGTAGAAGCAATCATTAAGAACATTCTAGAAAGTTCGAAGATGATTGGACAAAGTATATATAAGACTGTGCATGGCCATTTGGATATTTGATCAGATATAGCTTTGGTCTTTTTTTTTAATAAATTTTTATTTTTTATTTTTTTTATTCAATTCTATTCTATTTTCTTTTATTCTCTTTTTCATTTTATATTCCATTCTATTTAGATCTGTTCAATTTTATTTTAATTTATATTATCTTAAATTGTGATAAGATTTATATTGCTAAAAATTAGAAGGATCTTATATCTTAGAGATAGTACAGTCATATTTCAACCAATAAAGAATTTTTGGATTTCTAACGAGCATCTATGTAGCATGGAGGTACAAGGATACAAGTTATTCTTTTATCCATACACTTTCTTATATAGATAGCCTTAAATGTAAATTTTTGGATTTGACAACTTTGGAGGTATGATATTTCAAAGAATTGGAGATTTGAGTCATATATATAAAGATTGAATGAAGAAATATGGAAAAAAATTAAAATGATTAGATGTGATTTTAAGTAGTGAGTACATTTTAGATATTATTTAAGAAGAAGGATTTGAAGATGATTACATGAAGGTTTTAGACGAACTAGCTTTGCATATGGATAGAAATGGAGCTAATGTTGTTAAGAAGCTTTATTCAAGGTAATTATATGAGGAGGTTTTGGATTTTTTTAAGGAAATTTGGAGTAGTTGATAGCCATGTGGTATTGTAAGAGGCTATAGTATATCCAAATGATAAGATTGTGGCCAAGAAGGTGAAGCTCGTGATAATCCAATTGCCTCAAGATGCCAAAGAGCAAATCAAATAAGCTACCATAGAGCCAAGATTAAAAAGTTATTTTAGAAGCTCCTTAAGATTGTTTCATCTTAAAGCAATATAGAAACTTTTGAAGAAGCTTCTTAGAATTGCTTCATCTTCAAACAATTTAGAAACATCTTGAAAAAATTTCTAGTACCTAGTATATATTAGAGTCGAGGTTGAAGGGATCTTTGGTCTCAACAAGATATCTCTTGGAGCTCTAGCTCATCTTTCTTAAAGTTGATTTTATATTCATGTGATTTAATCAAGTTTTTTTTAGTTTTCTTGTTGAACTCTTTTATTCAACTTCTTTTTTGGTCTTTTATATAGTGTATCTATGACAATTAGTCATTAATTTATTAAAGAGTCTTTAAGCAAGTTAAAGATTGGAAGAGATGACTTTTTAATCAAAGTAGAGAGAGAAAAGTTTCTAGAAATGCTTTTCAAATATGATAAGGCTTTTGCCTTTGCACTTGGAGAAATTGATTGTGTAGACTTTAATATAGTAGCACCTATGGTTATTTTTATTGTTTCACATGTGCCTTAGAATTTAAAGCGTAATTTAGTATCTAAGATTTTGCTTCTTAAGATGGTGGATTTATTGAAGGAAAAGATCAAAATGGGCATCTTTAAACCATCTATTGTATCTTATTCCAATCAATAATTCACTATACAAAAGAAGTCTAAGGTGCTTGGATTCATTCAAGATATGCAACCAGCTAAGAAGATAACTATTAAAAATATGGATTCCAAATCAATGATAAATGAAGTAGTGGAAGCATTTGTGAAACATGTTATTTATTTTAATAAAAATTTATATTTGGATTATGATCAATTTCAATTAGCAAAGGAGAGTAGGGACCTAACTATTAAAAAGACTCTTTTGGATCTAGTACACATATGTACCTTGCCGCGAGGTGCAACTAATTTAGTGACTCATATGCAAAATGCAATGAACCAAATTTTAAAGGAATTTATATTGGAGAAGATCATACTCTTTTTGGATGATGTTCCAATCAAAGATTGCAAAGAAGAAGCTAAAGATTTGATTTTGAAAGAAGATGGATGCCAAGCATTTGTAAGAGAACATATTAAAGATGTAGAGTACATTTTGAAGAAACTTGAAGAGATAAGTCTCACTTGTCCTTTAAAAAGTCCATATTTGAATTTAAAGAAATTATGGAGGTTGGACATTTGTATAGAAGCTCTGGAAGGGAACCAAACTCAAATAAAGTAAATGCCATAGAAAGAATGAAGGCATATAAAAGCACCACCAAGGTAAGAAGATTTTTGGATGCTTATATATTTTATCACATATAGATTCCCTGTTATGTTCATATTGTAGAGCCTTTGTATCAATTAGTGAGAAAAGAAAAGAGGTTTGAATGGGATAAGGAGCAAGAGTTGGCCATAGAAGGATTAAAAGTGGTTTTGCAATCACCACCAATGTTAAGGCAAGTGGACTATAATTATAGAAGACCGGTGATAGTGACAATTGACCTAAGTCCCATAGCCATTGGGTGGACTATTGGGCAAGATGATAAAGAAGATAACCAATTTGCAATTAGGTTTGAAAAAAGGATTCTCATTGAGAGGCAAAGAGATTATCCAAAAGTAAAAAGAAAGAGCTTTGGTGTGCACTTATTGTATTGAAGGGTGAGAAGAATTACTTAGTAGGTACTCATGTGGTGTTGGAGTCCAATTGCTTGCTTTTGCTTGGAATGCTTTTGAATTGTACTACACCAGATATGTACCCAATATCAATTCAGACGCCTTTCAATCAGAAAGTCTTTTTCTGTAGTTTTTCAATGTGTCTACATACGACCTGTGAAATGATTTGTTCTGGAAGTTTGCAAGGTTGCAGTGTTGTGGGTTCATTAGGGGTGACATCATTTTGTGCAGGGGTAGTATGTTGTAGTTGACTGAAGAAATAGTATAGACTAGAGACTCCGATTCACCTAATGATGATTCAATGAATGCTGCTCTGGAGTATGCTGTTAGTAGAAATCTTTGAATAACTAGGGATGGTGTGGTGGCTCCGACATCGAGTAGGAAACTCCTCGCTCATCAAAATCGTAATGGTACTAGTTTACTGAAAATTGATTCGAAAATTGGAAACAAACTGGAGGAATAGAGGCACAGTTCTCAACTTGGACTATTGAGGGTTATCACAGAGAGCTAAGCCTCTGGATGGTTCATAACTGAAAGGAAGTTCTGAAATCCATATATACCAATAACAAGCTCTGTAAACCTATACACATCATATCGAAAGACTTCATTTCTTCCGCATTCTATTCTAGCACGAGATGCAGTAATAAGTGATCGATCAATGGTTCTGGGATTCTGATTGTATGGCCAGCAATTGTGCGCCCATGTTCACACTGCACATGAGAAGACAACTGTGTAGTTGTTATGAATCTGCGTTATTCCGGCTACATTGAGTGGTCATCATCTCAGGGACACGCACAAGAGGTTTTTCAGATGTACAGAACAAATTTTGTCCGCCCAGTTCTCACACACAGCAGTAGAATCATAGGCTTCGACAATAACCACGACTCTAAAATCACTGCAATGACGGACGGCAATGACGGCAACAATAAGTAATTGCTGAACACTTTAGCCCGTGAAAATATACCTTTCGTTCATAAAAGTTCAGACGGAATATCTTCTTTAATTACAAAACTGCTTGTTACTTGTACAGCACTCCTGGCGAGAAGGCAATGTAGATCATCAAAACTGCTATTCCAAAATTTCACGTAAGAGACGAACACTACACATTCTGTACATGAAGGGAAATTTAGGATTAGGGTTCAGGATTCTGTGATTTGGAAGCGCTACCAGACTTGAGCATCGACTGGGTCAAGGGACAGAAGCTCTTCCGCAGTTTGGACAGCACTCTCCTTGAGTGACTGCAAGTGGGCGAAAGTCCAGGTATACCATTCTTCCTTGTCACCCTGTGTGCGAGGAGGGTTGAACCGGTTGCGGAACTCACTGGAGCCGAGGAAGTCTTCCACTTTGCGGCCAACGAGGACGAGATGGATCTTGTCGTCGCCCCGGAGTCTAGCCGCAATGTACACAACTACGTACATAATGTTACCATGGTTTTGGGAGCATGATTCAACACAGTTGCTGATGGCGCCCTTCGACCGGATGTTGAGGATGGCTCCGCAAATAGCAGCGTTGATAGCCTCGACGGATTGTTCCTTGCACGTTTGGCTCAGTTTTAGCTTAAGAAACGTTGCCAATTGTCGGGTGTCGTTGATGGGAACGACGATCTCTCCGAGTTGGAAGGCTGACACTTGGGGTGCAACAATTTGGTCGAACTCATACAGCAATCTTTCTCTGCGCAGTAATTCAATAGTTTGGATCATTACTCATGAGACAATGAATGTTGAATGCTCGAAGCTATCAAAACCAACACTAATCGTAGATGGGTACTCGTTGGTTCGTTGCTTTGCATCTCTTAACAAAAATGTGAACAAATTATTCCATCATTCTTGAAGCTGTTTTTCAGATGCCCCGCGCCTTTTGTGAAACTCGACATGGATGACACCCTGCTGTTGCATGCCAGTTTTTGTATTTTGTTGAGATACATGCGTGATTTCTTTCTCAGTGAACTCAATTCGAAGACTCTTAATAAGCGCAAAGTAATCAAGCATTCGACGGTAGGACTGGCAGAGAGTACAAAATAAACCTGTCTTTAATTGCGAAAACTTCTTCACAAATTTGCACTCGATCCCTCAGAACAATCGGAAACAACGGCGATGTTGTTTCCTTCTCGTGGACTTCGGCTTCTACTACTTCTTCTTCTTCGACCAAGTCCAAGCTCCTAGTGAAGCTTTCTTTCCTCCTGAAAATCTGTTTTGTATCTTGATCCCTCGATTGTGGCGCCAAAGTCAAGCCAACAAGTGCAACGCTCACATACCTTCGTATGCATTCCCGAATGAGCCAAAATGATAGCCTCAAGAGCCAGATGAGAATGCACTTTCCTATCCACAGGACGAAGATTACTATCTTAATCAGCCACACGAGGATGAGGTAGTATATGCCTGACGAAGCTATCTTTTGTAGAACAACTTGCAGCTTCGACTCCAGATTGATCTTCATCTGGTAGTGACTTCCCGGCTCCAAGAAACCTTGGAAACACATTAGGTCAGAGATTCACAGCCACTGATTGGTCTTTGTGAGCATCTTCTCTCGTCGCTCTACTGACAGGAGTTCTGAAGTTTTCGAGTGTCGACTTTCTTGTTTTCCAACTGTGAGCAAGTATGGTACAATCTTGCCCTGTCTTTTGCGAATTTTGTGATGAACTGTTTCTTTTGTCAAACCCTCTCCTAGCCGCCTAGTTTGGTCGCAGTGAGCAATTTTGATGGAACCATCGCCGGGTATCACCTCCTCTCCCTTCATGTTTGCGACACTGCATAATAGTTGTTTCTACAGTGTTAAAAAGAATCACGGTCAACTGTTTCAGAAAATCAGCGCCGAAATCGCACCACACACATCCTATGTTGCAATTGCAATTGACAGACGTTTGGGGTACTCTGATAGAACGCTCAGGTGTCCGTCAAAAGCCCCGATGCTCTCATTCTAGCGAATCAACACAACTCAGCTCTCAAGATTTCAAGGCTATGATTTCGAAGGGTGATGTGCCAAGCTTTACAATGTGATTCCTACATGAATCATTAATCCTTTTGTCATTGAAGTGGAGAGACATGTTCTAAAAGATCAAACTAATGCTTCGAAATACTATTAGATCTAATTCTTACTTTGTCGTTTGGCTGTCATGCGTACTCTCTCCTTTTACAACTACGAGTCTTTTCCCCAATTGTGTCGCATCTTCGCCCCAAATGACTCAATTCTGCGCCTCCTGGCCTCATTGTTACACCTCGGATGCCTGTCTACGTATCCAAGTTGAGGTTACTCAAGCTACGAGTTCGGCATCTGTGAAGCTTGCCACAGATTTGAAAACTTGAGTGGAGCCGACGTGGGAGGCCAGATGCTCTGAGTACTGTCAATTACACCAAGGCTGCTCGAACCAGAGGGATTCGCTCAATGGCACTCTACCACGTATCACAAACTTCTGCGCAGATGAGATTCTTCATTTGCAGCCTTGCGTGAAGGCTAGGTCTGTCAATCGCAGGGTGGACATGGTGTACCTGACAATTGCAATCGGAGTCACTTCCTAGTCGAGCAGTTCCAGCCGGCCATGATGCCTCAAACAGCTTACACAAAAGCCCCGACAACGAAAAATGATCACCGCCACTCAGTACAATCAATAATCATCGAAACCTGACATCAACAAGGGGCGCCGCGGTAAGGTCTTGGCACCGTCAATCCTCACCACAGCAAAATAAAATGAAAATACCGCTGCCCATCCCTCTCTCCGTTGCCAAAACTCGCTGTGGAAAGGGAATAAATGAGTGTGACGATGTAGCGTTGTGGATTAGAAGCTTCGACATAGCGACAATACCTGCTCATGAATTCACCATCGGCAATGTCATTGTGCCCCAGAATAACAGGTAGATTGTCAACAATTTTGTTACGATCTGGCAGGTCTCTGCAAAAGGGCCATTGAAATTAGTACTGTTAGTGGCCGATAAGGATGAAGACCTTGATTAAGACCACTTCTCCACGTCTCTGACAGGTAGAAGAACTATGTAATATTCTGAGAAATGCTTTGTGCAGGATGGGTGAGCCATTTATGTACAGAGTGAGCAAATTTTGCCGCTCCATCCATACTCCTACCGAAAACCCACTTGTTGGGGGAGGGGGGGGGGGTACCATGTCAATGTTTTGATAGACAGTTCTGTACTTTCTTTTAAATGCCACATCCACCCACACAATTGAATGAAAGCTGGGCCATGTTAGAAAATCGCATCATACATACCTGCAATAATATAATTTAATAAACAAATGAACATCTGTGCTCTTTACAGTGGTGAAGGAGAGTAACAATCTCAGTGCTGAGCCTCGAATATCGGCTTACTGCAGCGCAGAAATCTGCAAGGTCATTGGTAGTCTGACCGGCCGTGAAGTACTTGTACGTTCGTGACAATCAATCAGGCACTGAAAAGCATCCCAACCTCGAGCCTAGCAAAATCACTCTGTGCATTTATTTCTTGATTCTTTTAAAACCTCCCCACAACTCCCAGTTTCAGTGATTATTGAATTACAAGTGGTCTTCCCACCCATCTTAGCTGGCTGCGTTGAGACCACATTACTCCAAGAAAAGATACCTGTAAATATCCTTCTAGAATGTTCTCTTTCTTTCAAATATACATGTGGGTAGAGATCAGCAGAGTAAAGAACTTGGAAGAGTATGTGTTAAATGGGGTTTGATCTTCCCCTAGTGACTAGAACAATCCAACCGCAGTACGTACTAGTTTTACGGCCTTGCAAATTGGCCTGTGCAGTTAATCATAATGCCTCAAGCCGAATTTCACACTTTGAGGAGAACAACCGGCGAGTAGTGGTGAAATCATCAACCCTAGTTTGAACCTTCAGGAGGAAGAACGGAAGGGAATAATTTTTGCAGAAAAATCTACGTGGGTACCATGCATAGTAATAATTGAGACGAAAGCCGCAGGGTGCCCGCATTGATTACAGAAAGAGTAGCATCTGAACTAGGTCGATATAGATCTGTTCCTATTCTCTGATGTGGAAGTCTGTGAAGTTAGAACAAGAGGTGGGTGCCACAGGTCCTTAACGTGAAGCGAAACTCATTGCTGCACAAAACTAAACAGTGGTGGGTACACCACCCTCCACGTGTGTGAGCATAATTGGGCCACATGGATGCACCTCGGAGGTATTTCGACACTGCCCGGGTTGGCACTGAAGCAGCACCGTGGGTTATATGCTCCAGAGTCTCTATTTCAACCAAGCTCCGAATCCACGCCAATTGACACATTCACCTTCACACCTTCACAACTTCACGACTACAATGACTCTAGTTTTACCTGGCAGAGATAGACACAAAGCGGGTGCAGTTAATGTGTACTCGACGAATTACAGCGGTTGATGAGCTTAGCTGATCTCAGCCATGTCCTTGTATCACAGCATTTCTGTGGCCATAGCCTGGCAGTGAAGCAGTACACTGAAAAAATTTGTGGTACAACATTACCAGGGATCACACCAAGTTCATGAGAAGCTTGAGGAGGACAGTATGCTTCCAGTGGTGAGCTCATGTTGAAGTGCAGGGCCAAGCTCCGATTTGACAGGCACTTTTTTATATCTCTTTTCTACCCGGTCTAGCCAGGTTATTTTCTTCAGCAAAAAGCATTGCATTACCCTTCCAGGATGATGAAACACTGCAGCATGGTCCTGTGTTGTTAAAAAAAAAAAAAAAAAAAAAAAAAAACTGGGCACATTCGCGAGTAGATGATTGGGAAAAACCAGTGGTGCCTACCATTCTTTGACTGGTATTAAAGTTGTCCCCTTTTGTTCTGTTTTAACTATGGATGTAACAAGTGCACCACTTCTTAATAATTAGCTTTCCGGGCTGATTACTACAAGTTTCTCGTGTGGCTTGGATTAACTGACGAGCCGAAATGCGTGTTACAAAGGATGTATTCATGAGATTGTGCTGATGTAGTCATTTATTTCAAGCATCCGAAGTGACGGAAAATGCAGAAGCCACCAAGTGTTATACAACTGAGTTACTGCCTAACACAAGGGTTTGCAAGGTTGCTCATGAATCTCTGTTCTCAACCTACAAGAATAAAATCAATGGGGAGATGGGTTTCCCATTTCTGTAGCCGCCTTTACATGAAGCGATATAAACAAATATCGGAGGGAAGAATGGAGGCTTGCAGGAAAAGACTCGCTTCAGTTCTATCAAAGCTACCAAGGGCTGCCAAATGAGCACACGAATGCATACATCATGCTCTGAGTTGTCTCATGGCCAGTTCCGAAAATAGTTTTTTTGTGACATGCAAGCGCAAGCACACCACAAGTCCAGAACAAAGCTCCCCAACTCCAGGGGCCCCAGCTCTCTCACTGATTGATGTCGGCTACTTCGTCGCCATTGTATGATGGTTGACTCTCCAACCCCGAGGAAAAAAATACTAAAAGCTCATTTTCGTTCGAGCGATGAGCAACGGGTGGCGTTTCTCCAACCGATCTTGGTGTAAACGTTGTACTGCTTCGGAATGGCGACATTGCTGTGTATGATTGATCAAATGGGGAGCGACGAATTGGCTGCAAAAATAATTCTGTCGAGCTGCCAAAAAAAAATACAGGTTCTTATAGAGTCCTTTCAACAACGTGGGGCTGTGTTATTTGTGAGGTCAAACTTCTGTCTTTAGCCACAGACAGAGTGGTGGGCAGTCGTAGGTGTTTTTTGAGGTGTCGCTGTTCATCAAGATCAATGTACCTTCTGGCACGTTCGTTTACTTTCACTGCTTTTGTATGCTGTCCAGAGCTATGGTGCACATTGTGTTTAAAGAAAACCTGATCTTCTGGTTTGCGATACTGACGCCTTGCAATTGAGCTGGCTGTGTTTGCTTAATGCGACCTTCTAAACCTACCCACATCTCTTTCAGTTCTGCGCTGCAACGAAGAAAACGATTGAATATGTTACCGGATTGCAAGCTTGAATTTCGTGGACTTTTGAGCTTACAATCTGGTAACATATTCAATCTAGCTTCTGCATGCATTGGTAAATTTAAACACGCTACACAACCGTGCCGTAACGAAAGATTTCATCCGATGCAGTCGCACTAATAACCCAACTACGGGGTATTTTTTTCGTGTAAGAAAGTACAGAAAGTCACACCTCCAACGCACTGGAAGGTAGTGTGTGAGAGTGATCTCAAGAAAAGCAATTCTGTCCTCAAATCGAAACACACCAACACAAGTCTAAAATTTCAAGACCGTGCTTTTATTTACAGATGTTGTCATCATGGGTGGTGTGGCAGGGCAGGCCAAATTGCTGACCCCACCTCTACTCCAGATTCCATCACCCCTCATCTCAAGCGACGCTTGCTGCTCAAGGATAAGAACACACAAGTCCAAGTTGGCAATAGACTTGGTCTACGGCTATGGCTGGCAAAATTATACGGCGACCTTGCAACCTAGATCTCGCAATACATATGGTAGTGTTAATCCCTGGTACACAAGTTAGTGCACAGCATGTGTTGTGTGATTCAGAAAGCCCATGTTCACAGACTATAACTAATCCACTTTATCCTACTATTACCTAATACCACATGAAGTCCGTCATAGGATCGTGATAATCGCGGTGAGTAACGTCCAAGTTTCAAGCGAAGAAGCCGAAGAGGTCTTGATAACCCCTTGGTGCACTTGATCCTGCTCCGAATCTCTCGGTGTCTCGGTAAGACGTCGAGGAGTAGGACGAGGAAGAGTGTGCATCTCCATACGAAGCATACTGAGTCGGCTCCGGAGTAGCAGCATAAGAGGTGGACGTCGACTCATAGCTCGGTCTCTCGTATGCGGAGGCTGTCACTGAGGTATCAGGAGCATAGGATGGTGTGTAAGAATAGCTGTCATGAGTAGAATCGCATGAGTAGGAGCCATACGAGGAGCCGTTGTTGGATTGATCATCCTGGGAAGACTCATAGGAAGGTCTGGAATACGAAGAGTAGGATATTTGGTATTTCTGCTCAGGATAAGAGGTAGAGAACGAGGGCTCGTACGAGCTTTGACTGTATGCCGGTGTCCGATACGCATCCTCGAACGGGGATGGCATGTATGTGGACACACGGTTGGAAGTCTCGTAGGATGAGGAGCTGTAGGGGTTGCGAGACGTGGGATTGTATGAGGAATTGTGGGATGAATTGTACGAAGAGTTGGAGTAGTCGGAAGAATTCGGTGAGGAATGTGAAGCTCTGTAAGCTGGGTCACTGAATGGAACGTAGGAAGAATCTACCCTCCGGGTGTTGAAAGGATCGTCGAAGTAAGCAGCCCTTGGGACGTAGGGAAACGTGACATAGGCGCTTGCTTTCTCCTCCTTTACCACTACATGGGCATCCTCACCGAGTGCGTCTGATTTGGCTTCAGGGGCTGCTGATGCAGCTGGTGGAGCTGCCTCTTCCGGCTCTGGAGCGGCTGGCTGTTCGGCTGGCTGTTCCGCGGGCTTCTCCTCTGCAGGTGGGGAATCAGCTGCTTCTGGAGGAGGAGAGGGAGTCTCAACGACAACAGGGGGTGGGGCCAGCTCCACTGGGGCTGGTGGAGGCTCTGTAGCCAGGCGGGTCTTCCGCTCTTCTGATAGCCACTCTGCAAACCTGAAAAAGATTCAACATTGATGAGATCATGACATTCTACCTTCCTAATTTATTTAAACGATCTGCAGATATTTCTGAATTTGCGAGGCTTACAACATGTCATGTGAAATTTCTCGAGAACCAAGAAAGTAAATACCTGTAAAGAGCTTCCCGGTTAGTCCCACCACAAGGAATGGAGTGGAGTTTCCCAGTTTGGAAGTTCCGCACAGTTACTGGCTCATCCAGAAGGTGCTTCGCCGTAGCCATTAGCTTCCACAGATTGGATTCCGATGAATCGTCCACAGATGCAAGAGGCCCGTTCAAGTTGTCTGTCTGCATGGTTCATCAAATGTTATTCCCCCATCTTAACAGAAATGCTTCTCCTTCACAAGCCGCTGGCTCATCGATGCAAAACAAACGAATACACGCAACAGCCATAGATTGTTCACTGCATTCTGTGCTTCATATTGTCATCTCGCACCATAAAAAGAAAAAGATATAATCTGGTTCTCAGGACAAGGAACTACCTGAATTCGAAGGTAATTGGATGCGCATTGTTGTGACTGAAACATGATTGAGAGGTTGTAGTCCACCATATCTGCACTGGCATTGAACACCATATCAACCAAAGGTGCCTCGCCTTTGTTTGCCAACCAGTCTACAATTCCCCACTTTGCCACATCCCTTGCGTCGTAGCCCATTGTATGTTGTCCTGTACCAAGCGAGAGGACCAGGATATCGTTGTAGCTCTGCACACATTCCCCCACGCAATAAGTGCTCTAGAACAACATTTCTTTGTGGCTCGATTCTCACAACTCGACTCAAAAGCGTAGCAGAGAACTGATCAAAAGAATGTCAAGCGAGTGTAATACCGAATTATCCACTCTTTCTGCCAGAGCCCCGCCGGCTTGCGATTCCTTGATTGCTTGCGTAATCGCGACATATGTCTGCTCCAGAAAAAACAAATGAACTAATAAATTATGCGAAGTTATGAAGAATGCGAAAATGACAAACAGGCATAATACAGGACTTCTGGCAGCAAAATGTCAGATTGAGGAGACCAACACAACATCTTGCAATCGACATTTCTCGTGTGGGATGAAATGAGACAAAATAAGATCAAGCGCACCGGATTGTTCACAACAACACCGCCATCTATCAAGTTGAACTCTCGTGTTTCGTTGGGCTCCCTGGAGGTATCAGTCAGAGTGAAATGGATTGGTGGGAAGTATGTCGGCGATGCAGACGAAGCTCGGCAAACAGCTTTAATGGGAGGATTCTCAAGAGGATCTCTTTGCGCCTATTCACAAACAAACCCACATTCTAATTACACTTTGAGTAAACCCTAGTTATCATCGTGACGACCAAAGCTGTTTGACCTGGAATTGCAGAATACGGAGCTTCGTACTTCAGCTTTCATTGCTTCGTATCCTGCAAGTGCAATTTGCATGCACTGCGATTGAGAGAGTTTACCTGCCAGGACGAGAAGAAGATCGGTTGTTGCAGTTTCGTATCGAAGGCCGGGATAATGATGGACGTCAGCGCTCGGTCAAGAAGAGGATCGCTCTCAAAATACTGGTCTAATAAGCGCTGCAATCCTCGTGGTTTATACTTGGGCCCGTTCAAGGCCATGAAGTGCCTCCGTGTCTGCCCAAACGGGCCTCTGCGGATACAGCCAGAGCAGCAGGTTAAGTTACTTAACATTCATCCCCGGTGGACACAAAAGAATCTGAATCTTGACGTTGTTGGAAGAAGTTGATTAATAGTTTCGATCGAGTGATACATACTTGCCCTGAGGGAAGATCTTGTTTGCGTGCTTTTGGTAGAACTGCACGACTTCTCGGGCTGTGAACAAAGGTCGGTTTGAGCCCTCGGCGCTTGGGGACGAAATCATGGAGGTAATGAGTCCACCAGTGCTGGTTCCAGCTATGATGTCGAAGTAGTCGGCCAGGCGCGCTTCTGGCCCATCCAATCTCTGGTTTTGAAACGGAGGACAACATATTTTGTGAGAAGACGTGGTGCACAATGTATCCAATGTTCTCACTTGCATCAGCGATTTCTAGTTTGCAACCTCTCCCTCCAGCTTCCTTGTGCGAGCATTTCACATGAACGAGAAGTTAATCTCATGTTCTCGAATGAGATTACTATTGGAGAGGGCCTCATCGTTCCAAAACCGGCCCCTTCGGACACACACTGATACACCCCGCGCCGCACCTTACCTTGTCGACCCGGCCCGGACGGCATCGTGAACGGCGGTAGGCCTATGATCTAGAGCAGATTTGTACACAATCTCAAAGTAGAAACTAGCTGCACTCATTACCCACTTGATATCGATGAGTAAGCTTCGTCTAGTTGGAATACCGCGGTGAGAAATCTAACGACTACATTGCCATCTTCTGAGCCGCTGGAAAGAGGTAGCGACGCTGATGAAATGCAAGTCTGTCTCAGCTACGCTCTACAATCGCTATACAATCCTTCCAAATTTGGGTCCTGAGTTTTATGTGACAATTCGTCATGGCTAGGCTTCTCATGCATCATGAAGGCGAATTGTTACATGCCTTCATTGCAGCCTACCCACCTCAAATGAGAACCACTCTAAGGTGTTAACCGTTACGTTGCAATATCACAAGGGTACTGGTAGCTTGCCGAAGTGACGAGGAATGAATTGTAAGAGACGATTCTACTGAAACCCTGAGAGCTTCACGACATTGTCTTCGATTATAAGCGTCTCAATTCCTTAAGCAGACTGCAAAGCTTGCAAAACAATCCGTCCAAGCCGAGACCAACACAAGAGTACCCACCTGAAGCTTGCCCTCAAGCTCGGCCAGGATGGTGGCCGGGATAAGTCCCCGCACTCCCCCTCCATCCACGCTCAGTATAGTCACCCGCTTCCCAACCTGGCCCGTAGGCCTCTGCGTCATGAACCCAGGCATAACTGCTGCAAGACCTCAGCTCCGCACAAACTCACACCCTCTCTCTCTCTCTCTCTCTCTCTCTCTCCAGCAAGCCCTCTTGCAGATCCAGCTCAATTAACCCCCCAGGACACTGAACTGAACGCTCTATCCAGCACCGCAGGAGCGAGTATTTGAGGCCGGAGTGGTGGACGACAACCAGTCCTCGCTTTTCACCCGATCATAGGCGCACCCACCTTCAAAGCCGCAATTACAAAGGTTGGTCTAATCCTCAATTACCGAAGCTGCCGATCCACAGTACTGCACTTCGACGCACATCGTGCAACAGGAAGCTGCGTCGGAGGCGAATATTTCAACCACCAGTGGACGGTCTTTCACAAACTAGTTACCCTTCAATAATGAGCCGTGGCGGGTTGCGAGCATGAGGGAGACTCTCCCTTTGAGACAAGATCCCATGCACCTGATCCACGACCCTCCTCCATTGATCGTCTGTTTAACTAGCCAAAGGCTACTCAGCCATTTGCGTCTTTAGCTACCCCGAATGCTTCGTAACAGCCAACCATTAATCAACATTTTGTGAATGTAATTGAGCTTGTTTAGCAACTGGGTTGCTATTAGATTGGGACTGAGCATGAGGTGACCTTAATCCAACAGATTCTATGAGGACGTTAGTGCCGATGAGTGCATATGTTTGCCACGGCAAAACGATAGAGCATGGGACACGGCGAGGATAGTTCGTTTTGTGAGATGTTTTAATGGGAACCCACTTGGTCTTATAGCGAAGTTGTATGGGTGCCGTTTCAGTTGCACTCTAGAAGTAATCTAGAAAGCAAAGACTGTGTCACAATTATTGTTGTCATGTAAGATTCCAAGATGTTCCAACCACCAAAATGCCAACAGTAAATCAGGTATCATTCCCCCCTCCTAGCAGAACTATTACTCTAGCTATTGTACAGTGTTGCACAGATAATGACATTGTGCATAGTCAATGTCTGCAATAATAGAAAAGAGTATGATTTGGAAAACTGGTATGAAAAAGCTTTAATCAGTGAGATTACTTTCAAGGAGCAGGTCCAAGAATTATTAACTATTGTAAGGCCCAGTTCTTCCTTGACTCGGGGTTCCCGACAATAATTAATCCGTTCTGAAATTAGTACTTCCAAAATCATTATTAGTATTATATATATACCTTAATCTAACACATTTTCTCTCAGAGGACCTCAAGGGCTGAGTTTCCTAGGTCTCTCGATGAGACATATTGAATGCGGAGCGCTCGAAGTACGCAGGCTGCAAGGGTCGAGGGTTCGAAACCTGGAAGGGGATTCTAAACCTGATAGGTGGACTTCAAGGGCCGAACAAATTTGACCTTTCCGAAGAGACAGAATCTGGACAAGGAACCGGTCTTCATGGTATCAAGTTGCAAGACCGTTTTGGAAAGTCATTTTAAACCGTCTATCTTACATAAATGCAGGAACTTACACATACCATAATTGAAAGGCCAAGTCCAGGATGTGCACCAAGTCACAAGCCTCCAAATAAAACCAAGACAACACAGGATACTCATCCACTCTCCTACCCAAATTGACATAAGCACTGAATGTGGGCACATCTGTTTTAATCCCAGTGCTACTCTAACATTCCCCAGGATTACAACCCTCTCCCATGAAAAGTGAGCCAAAAGGTAGAACAACAAAGAATAATGCAACCACAACCACTGCACCACTGTAAGTGTGCCCACTCAAGGCTAAAATACATGAGCACATTCTGAACAGAGAGGCACTCAAGGAAAGAGAGGAATATGAAGCAGAAAAGCATATCAGGGACTGTAGCTGCTGCTGACATTGAATCACACCAGGGCTGAGGTGGTCCCAAGGGCATGTTGGCCCCCACATGAAGAGCCCTAAGTGCTGGCTTGCTTGTTTGTTTGTTTGTTTCCTTGCTTGTTTGGCATACACTAGTTGTTGTTGTAGCAATACCAGTACCAGTAGTAGTACTTGGGTTGGGGGTGGGGAGGGGGGATCCAGTATGGGATTTTGGGATGGCTGGCAGCAAGAACAGCAGAGCACCACAAGGGTGGTGGCACAGCCATGTGGAAAAAGAGATGAAAAAAACAGACACCCTCTCTCTCAGAAAACAGACCCACATACATACAGACACACAAACAGACACCAATGTATCCATCCCTCTGCCTGTTATTGTGCTGCAGCAGTGGAAGAGTGAGTGAGTGAGTGCATTGAGAGTGGGAGACCATTGCTGCCAGTGCTGGGATATCCAGGTGATGGATGGATGGGTGGAGTTTAGCCTTTTGAACGGAAATCCTGCAGTATTATTCTATTGTTTGCATCCCTCAATTTCATGCAAATGTTGGTTTATCCACTCATCTCTATCTCTATCTCTTCCTGTGTCTATTGTGGGGCATGTTGGTGATGGTGGGTTGGTACCTCCCCATGTGTTGTGTTGTGTTGTGTTGGGCATCCCCTGCAAACTGTCAGTCATTTCTGGAATGACTGTGAATGTACCCACCACCATACACGTTCAGATGGGCTTTTATCACATCAGGACATCAGGACTCTCCAGGTTGTAGGAGTTGTACCACCACCACTCTCTTTCATTGTATTGCCTGCAGGACTGTCTCTCTCTCTCTCTTTCTCTTCATTTCAATTTCATACAGATTTATGTATATATATATTTGTGTGTGTTGTTTAAGAGAGGAGATAGGGTTGTGTATGCAGTCATTGTGAAGGAGATTAGGAAAAGGGTGAAATGGTTTGCAACATTGTTAGCCCATGATCTGATTGCAAAAGTGGTTGCACCAAGGAGGTTGACTAGTTAAATTTAAGATGTGAAGTTTCCACATTTGCAAAATGAACAATTAGTAAAAAGATTAATGTCCCACTGTTTCAAATAAATTTAAAAGAATTAAACAAATAAAACAAACAAACAAACAAACAGACATAGCAAGGGTAAGCTTTCACTCTCACTCTCATCAATGAAATAGAACCTAATGCCTCTCCTACTTGGCTCCTCTTGATCATTCAGATCCCAAGCTAACCCACACAATACTTCTGCTCTGGTGAATCTGATCACAAAAAGTGGTACACAACCCAATCATTTTTTTCAATATATGTATATATACACATCATATTTTTTAGTATAGTGTATGAAATAATTGGAGATCTCCCAAATGAAACAAATGAGTTAGGATAAAGGAAAGGGAGAGGAAGGCATGGTTTTGCACTCTCTTCATTGAAAGGCCTATTCATTGTGACCGCTAACTGTGCCACCCAATGAGCATGAGGGACATAGAGAGACATGGCACAATCATATAAAGATGTGCAATCCACACTATGAGTCCTTGACTCTCTCTCTCTCTCTCTTTATATATATATATATATATATATAGAAAAAGAAAAGAAGGGGGTTAATTACAATAGAAAAAACTTGCCACTGCATTGAGAAGTAAAAGCGAATAAAGAGAAGAGCATGTATTATTTGCTTCAACATCATTCCATTGCCTTATAAGAAGAAGAAGCATAAGTTAATCATGTTGAAAGCTAGAATAAGATATTGCAAAATTGTATTTGACAAAGCTTGTTGTGATCTAAGCTTGAAGAGAACTTTTGGTTTTGAATTGTGGAGTGATCAAACAGTCTACATTCATGTCCCATTCATGGCATTCTTTTTTGACAGTCAGCCAAATAGAGGCTGATTTTGATGCCTGCTGACTATTTTGATTTAATGTCTTCCTTTGTTTGTTGATTTTGATGGCTTGACAACTTTAGCACCTTGCCCTTTTTTAGATTTTTTTAGGTTTTATTAAATTTATTATTCTTTTAGGTTTTACAAATTTCATGTCACATCTAATTTATAAGCTTTTTTCCACTAATTTTTTCTGGTTGTTCATAGAGTTATCCAACGCCATTGTTGTAAAAGATAAAATCTCCATAAAACTCACAAGAAAATATCATATGTATAAAATTAAATATATAATGTACAGTAATGTGACTGAAGAAGAAAAGAATTTCATGCCATTTATTTATTATTGACTCATCATACATAAGCCGCCAAAAATAGAAAATGTGTTTCTTACATTGAATAATCTCAAAGGATATTATATTGATTTAAAAATTAATGACTACAAATTTTAAGTTTGTGCAGTTTATACATTAACAATAATAAATCATAGTTGAAAACATAATGATTTTTTCATTCCATATTGGTTATGTAATGCTAAATAATAGTTTTGTCAAGGTATGAAGACTTTTGAGCATCAAGACTTTGAACACAAATATGAACTTTTAATATTTTAATATTTTAATATTATTATATGATTTTAACAAGTTAATTTAATTTAATTTAATGTGTTAAATGTATGTATGTGTATGTATGTGTATGTATATATATATATATATATAAACAAAATCTATAATATATAGGTTGATAATGAAAGGGTTTCTTTATGTCTTTATTTTATACTTGAATTATTTTATATATTAGATGTATTTGGGGTATGATTCCATCCTCAATTCCATCCCAAATTCCATGTGTCACAAAATCTTTGTTGTTGACCCAAAGATAATGAGAAAGATGGAAAAGAAGAAGCATAAAAAGATGGTCGTAGATTGCATGAATGAATGGTGACTCAAGTCAAGTCAAGTCAAGGAGAGTAAAATTATTCTTTGGTTTTGGTGTTGGGGCTTGTGTCCCCCTTGTTTGCACTATGTCCAAACTCCACCGTCCCAATAATTCCCCTTGTTTCTTTTCCTAAATAATAACTAATTCATTTTTTATTTTTATTATTTTATTCTCTTGTTGCTAAACACTCAAATCCACAAAGAAAGAGATAGGCACAAACAACAAATGAAACTGAATGAACGAAATGAATGAATGAATGTACAAGGAAGAAGCACTCTCACAAGATTTTTGCACCTTGGATGAATGAAAACATGGATGCAGTTTAAGGTGGATGAATGATCCTGAAGGGTGCCTCCACCATCAGCAGCTGAACCCAATTCCAAAGCCGGGTGGAATCTCCTCCTTCAAATTCTCTTTTAAAAAATGAAACAAAAAGAATGCAAACCCTAAAATTGTAAAGAAGAGATCAATGGGGCCCTTGGCAAAGATTTTACATGAAATCAACCAATATTCCATGGGCCTGGGGATCTCATATGCCACACATGATGTTGCTCCCAAAGACCTTTCTCTACTTCTCTTTTTCATTTTTCATCTTTTTTGTTTATTTATTTATTCTTATTTTTTTGAGAGGGTGGTGCTATTCACTTGAGGCTTCCAATGCCTCCATTTCCAAGAGTTAAAATCCCAATTTCAATGCCCCCACATAAACATACACACACCCAAAAGGAATGAATAAACAAAGCATTCAATGTTCCCAATCATTGGTTGGAAGAAACAAAGGAAGGTGGAGCTCCTTTTCCAATAATAACAATAATAATGGGGATGAGTTGGTGCTATTTTGAATGCATGCATGCATTATGTTGAGCTCATTTGTAGCCATGCACACGTTGATGGGAAAAAATAAAAAATGAAGTAATAAGATGATAAAGGTTTAGGTGAAAGCAAAAAAGAGAAGAAGTCAATAGAACCGTAGATAAGTTGTATCTTATTTTGTTTTGTTTTTTTATTTAAGGGAAGTTGCTCCTTGCATTTGCCAATTAAATGTTTACTTTCAAGACATTAATTCATTCACAACGGCATATATATATATATATATATATATATATATCATTTTATCTCTATACATTCCAAATGCAAAAAAGAGATCTATATGATATAAAAATGAGTCAATTAGTTCAAATTTTAAAATATTTTAGAACCTGAAAACTGATTTTTTAAAAATAATTCAATAATACTTATTAACCAGTGAAAATGTAACTTCTATACTAAGATTCAGGATTTAAGATTTAAAAATAAATTTTTTGACTAACTTCAATGTTTTTAATAAACATTGTATTTTTTTTCTTTTTTCTTTTTTCTTTTTACTTTCTCATGTATAAATATAAGAAGCTAAAGTATCTATAATTACAGATTTTAAAATACTACCTTTCTTCTTTTTTGAAACTATAGTTAGAAATTTTATATATTTCATAGACTATATATATATATATATATATATATATATAATTTTAATATAATAAAGAGCCAATACGTCTGATGAAATAAAAGATATCAGTTTCTTGAATAACATTAAATCTTTAAAACTTGCAAAGTACATACTATATATTTTTAAATAACATAATATGGATTCAAGTAAATTTGACATACCCATAAATATACACTAATCTTAATAAGATCGATAAACATAAGCATCTTGATTTTTTTCTATTGATGTATTGCTGAAAGATTAAAAACATAGCTCTCACCTAGTCCACTCTATTCAATTAGTTATTTTTTTAATTTTTCTTAGACCATAAAATATATCCATATAAGAATAATTGAAATTATTAGTAGACATGATTTGTGTAATAACTAATTATAAAGTAAAATCAAGACCTGAAAATATATTACTTAACTTAAAGTAATTGAGCAAATGAATATGCTTGATCCAAAAAATTAAATTTATTCAACTAATGGTGATCGTAAAAAATCTTTATAGTTAGCTTCCCTAATGCATAATAATTAACGCAAACTCAAAAAAATATAAACATTCTCTTCATAAATAAAAAAAAGAAAACTGAATTTTTTTTCAATATTTTCATGATTCTTTTTTAGTTTATTTACTGCAAAAATTTAATACATACATATGGATATAGAAAAAGTTATAAAGTGATTCAAACAAAAAAATTCTCTTTATATTGCAACTTATGCACTTAATATTTTGATAACACACACACACACACACACACACACATATATATATATATATATATATAAGCAAGTTTATAATTTGCGTGTGGATTGTGATGGTCAAAGATGCATTGTGGAATAGGTATATTGTGATAATGATGCGTTCAAGACATATATGCTTCCTTTGATATGGTACTTCTATGCAACACCACCAAGCTTACAGCTTATAAACCAATGCTCTTTGTTTTATTTATTCAAGTAATAAACAAAACATAGTTTTGCCTAGACAGAATGCTTGTGAAACTTGACAAACTAGCTTGCCCTTTTTACGACACTAATTGCTGAATATCCAAATTCCAAAAAGAAAACAAGAAAAAAGTGAGTGTGTTCCTACAAGGGTGCTTATAAATACCTAAATTTTTTTAAATTATTGCATCTATTCTAAATTTGTAATGGTACTACAACTAATTATTAGTAGTTTCTACTATTGCATGTTTTTTCAATCTTCTTATTGTATTGACATCCTTTAATGTTGTGGCTTTTGCAAAAAATCGCATTGACAAAGTCAAATCAGCATTTGTAGTTTATTAATTTGATGAATTGATAAATACTGTTTTTATAAAAAGTAGTTCAATAACAATAAGTAAATAAGAATAGTTCAAATATTTATATATGTGTGTACTTAAAAAAGTTATACTTTAAAAAAATAATTTTGATTATGATAATGACTTCTTATTTATTAGATGTATGATGTAGAATAAAAACTTATTTATATTTCTTCAAATCAATTAATATTAAAATATAAAATAATAAATTTAATATATAGATTATTCTTAAAAAATTGAAAATATAGATTCTTTGGCATAATTACAACCTGAATGTTATATAATCAATCTATTGCTTCTACTTCTAATTTCATTCAACTTTTAAAAAGAAGATATCATATTATTATATAGTACAACTTTACGTAAGAAATATATTCTTGTAAATGTTTAATTTACTATTGAAAATTTCGGAATAAAGTATATTATTCTTTGACATCAGAAAATATATTTTAAAAACATTTTACTGTAATTATCACATCAAAAAATTATTGTGTAGAAAAATTTATATCCAGTCATTTTTTAATTCTCAAATATATGATAATATATATAGATGTTAATTGAATATTTTTAATTTTAAAAATTATTAAAAATTCATGGTATACTTTTAATTACATGAATTTTAGCCAATAATTAAGTGTTATTAAAGAGATTCTCTTAAACAATAAGGTTACAATCTATGGAGTGATAGAGCAATAGTGGATGCATGATAATGTGGATATGTTTTGTGCTTTAGTACTATAGATAGAATATTACAAGATTATTTGTCAATTTAATATTACCCATGTGAATATTGTAACAAAGATTGATTACGTGTTTATGATGTCATGGAAAAAATCTCATTTCTACTGTTTTCCACTGAAACTTCCACGAGATAAATTTTATCCAACTCTGATATATATATATATATATATATATATAGAATAAAATAGAAAATCTATTCATGTCTAATAAATACATATATAAAATAAAATAAGAAAACAATTATCCATCTCTAGTATATATATATATATATAATTTATATATATATATATATAAAAATTATATAAAATTAATTTTCAAAATTACAATAATTTATGAAGAATCTCAAATAAATATAAATATTTTTATGGTGTAAAAAATATAAACTAAATTTTATTTAGAGATATAATTAATTAAAAGTATACCATGAATTTAATACACAATCTAAGAATCTCTCCACAAGAAACTCTTTTCAACTTGCTTCACCACACAGTCAATTTATTCACATCCATACTATGCACACACTTCAATGTTTATTTATTTTTATTTTTATTATAATTCTTACATGCACTATGATTCAGATCACCACTAAACTACTCTATTTTTATCTTTTCACTAATTTCTTTGCCTTTGTAGCTGCATCTGTCACTTTCTAAGTTTCTCTTCTTAATTTTCTTTGCCACACATGTTTGTGCTGATTTTGTTCCTTGTTCCTTCATAATATCACACAATCACAGATTTTTCTCACACTTACAATTTTCTGAAACCACAAATGACATTGTACTCTTGATTTTTATAACATGAACTTACAACACTTAGAGTATCATATTTCATCTCACAAATCCATCACCAGATTGGATTAAGAATCAATTATTTGTACAAGATGAGAAAAAATAATGTCAATGGTTACAAGGATGTTTAAATTTAACAAAAAATAACTAGTTTCTATAGTTTAATATATATATATATATATATATATCTATATCTATTGATGAAATAATCAAATATTTTTTAAAAAAATAATAAGATATATAAATAATTTATAAACACTAATATATCAATTTATAGTTGTTTCTTTTATTTTTGCTACAAAACTTCTGAAAAAATTAATAAATTAATGTAAATTTTAAATTTTAAGTTACTCTTAATTACTTCTTATAAGCAGTAATGAATGTGAAGATATTGATAAGAATAAAATGTTAAAAATAAATATATGCTTACAAACAATCAAGCTTCTCACTAAAAGATATTCCATCTTAAAATCATAAGTATCAATCATATTTAAGATTAACTAATGAAATATAAAATTTCTTTCATGTATAATCTTAGAATTTATTTATTTAAAAAATTACTATATATATATATATATACACACATATATATACGGAATTGTTGAATTGATCCAAGGCATTTACAAAATCAACCCACCTATCATCATTTTTTCATTGGATTTCAATCAATGTGGATCCAACAATGGAGATTTTTTTTGATGATGATTAGGATGGGTAGGTCGATTTAATGAATGCCTAGGTCAACTTAAAAATTCCCTATATAAATATATATAAATATATTATATATATTTATATTTTTTTTCTGGACCAATGTACATCATATGTTCTTATTTTTTTCATTAAATATATATATTTTTTTCCTTCTTGATACTTTTTTCATAATAGATATATTTATATATATACATATATATATTTTCTGTAAATTGTGGGGCTGATTCAATAAAGTGCGCAAACTAAATGGCTGAGGTTGATGGGACTTGCACAAATTCCGGGGGTTCGTATTGCGAATGAAAAACGATGCGCTAAGTTCATCCCTTCGATGAATTCCGGGTCGCTGAGTCCAAACCAGTCGCAGAGTAAACGCATTTTGTTGTATTTGTTTTTTTTTTATTTGATTTTTTTGTATTTGGGGTTGGGCAGCAAACGTCGGTAGTAGAAGAAATCGATTGTGTCGAGAAATCCTTTTTTCAATCGCGAATTGAAGAATTGCCAGCCCTCAATTTCTTCGTCTTCTCGGGAATTCGGATTGGATTTTGTGCTTGTCAGTTTTGTAGTTTCCTCGATTTCTTCAGTCGCCGGTAGTTTGTGCTCTGGAGCTACAAGAGTGTGTGTTAGGGTTTTTCGTCATCAGGAATCGAGGATTCTTGCTGTGGAGCTGGAGGATTCCTCGCTGCAGTAGCTTGAGTGATGTAGGATTGATGTGTTCTCGACCTCATCCGGTCTCTTTTACTGGTGAAGCTTTGTTAGGTTTTTTAGAATAAGAGCACACTTGAATCTGCGATTTTTAATAATTTGAACGATGAGGAGGAGGCCAGGGATTTCAGGGCTGCAAGGGGCGGTTGCAGCGCGAGATCAATACCGATCATTGGGGGACAATGTTGCAAAGGTGCGCCAAGACCTCATGAAGGAGCAGTTAGAAACGTTCCGGCATCAGCTTGAAGAGTTCGCGTCTAAGCACAAGAATGACATCACGAAAAATCCTGCCTTCAGGGCGCAATTCCATACAATGTGCGCCAAGTGTGGGGTGGATCCTCTTGCGTCGAACAAAGGATTTTGGGCTGAGCTTTTAGGAATTGGTGATTTTTACTACGAGTTAGGGGTGCAGATTGTCGACATCTGCCTCGCCACCAGGTATCTGTCTCTCTTAGATGTTGTTTACCTTCTTGAGATATCGAGTCGTGTGATTCGGATCACCAATTTCAGAGTTACTCACGTTCTCTCATTAATGAAAGAATGATTGGATATGTTGAGTGGCTACTCTACATGAAACTGTGGCTGTTCGAAATCTTCATTGTCTGCAGCTGGAAAACCAGGTGGAGTGCATTTGCTAATGCCGTTGAATTTTATATCTAGCTGATTTAGGTGACAACTTATTCTACAGATTAGGATGATGGTAATCATGGTCCTACAATTGTTCGAAAATGTTGTTCAGACCTCGAAATGGTGGCCTCATCGACATTGAGGAGCTTCGTTCATCGCTTTCAAAACGACGTCGCTCTGTGTTAATTACTGAGGACGATTGCCTACGTGCAATTGGAAAGTTGAAGAAGTTGGGAGGAGGGTACGAGGTATTCAGCGTTGGACGTCGCAAGCTCGTACGATCGGTTCCCATGGAACTGAACAGGGACCATAACCTAATTCTTCAGATCGCACAACCTCGTGGGCATGTGACAGTCGAAGAGGTAGAGAGAGAGCTTTCATGGCGCAGTGGACGAGCAATTGATGCACTTGAGAACCTTCTGAAGGAAGGCTTGGCAATGATAGATGACGGAGATCCTGATGGCAAGCGTCATTACTGGTTCCCTTGTGTTGGTCCTTCTGAACTGGAGACAGAATCTGGTGGCAACATGTAGACATTAATAAATGTATTTCCACTCTTTATATGCTGATTTTCAATTTTCTTGGATAAGTGAATGTTCTAAAGCATGTTTGCTTGATGTTTTGCTGTTGCAAAGAACTATGTGATGTACATCGCATCGCACATACAGATATGGTTGAGTATTCAGTTGCTGAAACGGTTTGAATTTCACGAGGTATTCAATGAAAACATGAAATGCGTGAGTACATAATTTAGCATGTTATATTTTCAAATGCTGTGCAATTGATAAAAGTCAAGGTGGTTGTAGCTTAAAAATTGAATGAAACTTTTGTTTACACGCATGTTATGTCAATTATGGACAATGCATGAACAGAAACTAGGTGAAGTTAAATGAATTATCTTCACATGCATGGTGTACTTAAGCTTCCTAGCTAGGTTTAGAAGCAGTTTTAGCATCAGTAAATCTTCCAACTACTCCATATAAACACTACCAAACACTGTTCAACAACTATAACCACCTGTGTTGCTAAGCTTCACCCAAATCTACGTTTTAACTTTTGCATGCAATGATACACAACCAAACAGTACAAGCCACAAAGATTCCTAGCACTATACCACAACCTAAGATTCACATGCCTGTTTTGTGTCTCTGCTTGTAATGCATCTGTGAGATGACCTAAACACTACAAGCTTCGCATCATATCGCCTTCCAGCTCGACCACCTTAACAACACTTTACACTATTCTTTGTACAATTCCAGTTACATGCCTACAATGTAATACCTTTTCAACAAGAAAAGGAATTTAGCTATTGACCCCTGGATAAACTGGTGCAGAAGAAACAGGCATCTTCTGCTGTTCGTTGACACCGTCTGCATTACAAATCCAATGAAACAAATTAGCACAACTATGAACTAAAATTAACTTAGCTCTCTTTGTTAAGTCACCTTTGTTGTCTTCCAACAGCATTTCTCCTGTCAAAGGATTTGACAAAAACCTTACCTCCGTAATTTTGATAAACGCCAGCAGCTGGCTGCTCATGATCAGACCGAGGAGTGACAGCGTTCGGTCTCCCAAAATCTGAATGTGCCGGGAATGTGTGTTGCAAATGTTCTCCAGTTTCTTTGGGGGCGGCAGCGAAGAGGGAGCTCGCAGCACCCCTGACACGATCAACAATAGGGATGCTCTGATAATTCCTAGGTGAATTCGTCTTGTTACCTCCATTCACGAGACCTAGGACTGGCAAGATCTTCTCCTTAAAGGTGCCGGGCAATGTGCTCAACGTCTGGGTCACCTGTTCAGACAGTTCCTTGTCATGGTGCGTCGGAGTGGTATGAGCTGCAAGTCGGTCTTTCGCGAAAGCTGCACGATCTGCAGCAGTGGAGGAGTACTCCCGAGTTTTTTGACTCGCCGTATTCATGTAGATTTTAGCCTTCTGTGTGAGGGGAGGAGCGTTCGGATCCCTGGGCTTGTCAAGGCCCAGAGTTGCCTTGCTCTTATTCAGAAGTGTCACTGCGTTAGGATCTCTAGGTTTGTCAAATCCGAGTGCCGACTTCGCTTTAGTCAGCACAGAGGGTGCGTTCGGGTCAGTGGGTTTGTCCAATCCTAAAGCCATCTTCGTCTTTTGCATGATTCCGGGCGCGTTAGGGTCCCTCGGTATAAGATCTTCTTCCCTGTAGTATCCCAGTTTATCTCCGACCACAGCAGCGGCGCCAGCGACACTTTCCGTCATTTTCTCGAGTATCCCCTTATTTGCACGATTTGGAAGGCTGGAGGAGTCCGCAGTGGCACTAGGGCGGGAGACATCGTTGTACCCTTTTTGTGTGCTCTACACAGCAAATATTACAGAAAAATCAATTTCACAATACGAAGCATATGGTAATTGCATCCCTCACTTCACTTCATCGCATGTCAGCTAGAAGATATGGTCTATGTTGTGTATACCTCGACCATTGAGTCAGGATATGACAATGGCGGGGAGTATTTTGCTTGAGGTTGGGAACTGAGATCACTTCGATAAGAGATATCACGAGGAGACTTTTCGTTGACACCCAAATTCTTCAATTTATCGACTGTGGTCGGGGCCAAGTTAGATCTTGGCGAGTCAGTCGGTGGAGCCAAGTTCGATCTTGGGATATCAGTTGATAACGGAGCTGGTCGCGTGGGAGGTACCCCTGGAACATAGTTTCGTGTTTCGGCGTTATGCAAAGGATTGTTATGCAAAGGCTTCAAATGTCCAGTTGATGGAGTCATATTCGAACTTGGGGTATCAGTTGATACCGAAGCTGGTCGCGTAGTGGTGGCCATCGGAACATGATTTCGACTTTTGGCATCATATTCTGAAGGGTTGTTATGTACAGGTATCCCGTATCCAGTAGAATCAGGGTACGACGACCTTGTGTCATGGTCCCGGTTTTGCGATGCGTTGATATTTGGATCTGATGATGCAGGATTGGTTCTCAATGTGCTGAAGGGTGTGGATTCACCAACGTTGTACCTTGTCTCGGGACCGGGACCCTGCTACCAGCAATGCAAACGCGACGTCAAGCACAACAAGTGAATGTCACCACAGAACCTCAAGTCAACATTGAGAGACATCTAGTTTCGAAAGATCACCATGCGATGCGAACAACCTCAAATGCAAGAATTCAACTACAAGCTTTGTAACAAAATGCTTACCCTGGGAGAGTTGTGCGGAGAATCATCGTACTCGGAGCTATTCTCCTCATACCCATGCTCATCGCCGCCGTCTCGCTTCTTCAATCCCGGCAATCGATTCTTAATGCTCTTCACCTTACTCCCCAAATGTTGATTGGTAACTCTTGCCTTGATTTTCGACGTCAAGGACCTTCCTCCTCCGCTCTCCCCCTGAGCGGGATCTGCAGTGACAATCCATTCCGTGACAACAAGCACACCCACACACTCAGTCACACAATCACCATTGCCGCAAACAAACCATGACAACCACTAACCCCACACTCTCAATCCACTGCCACCTCATTCAACTCCTACCCAACACTCTCAAACCCAAGGATCAGCCTCAGAACGCATCGCTCACATTTGCAACATCAACAATCGAAAGCACACCAACACTGTCAGCGGGAAAGAAACAAAACAAACGACACAATGGCGAAGCGTACCCATCGTATGGCAACTGTAGAGAAGAATCCAAACACACTCTCTCACTTTGAAAGTCTCGGATAACAGGAATCTAAAAAGCTCTCTGTCGACGCAACAAATGCTGGATCTCACTCAATTGCAATATAACCTCCCTGAGCGGGATCGTGAACTTTAACACGGCAAACTGAATATTCAACATCAAGAGCGAGAGAGTGCGTCTCCATCCGCAACCGGTGGTAGAAGAAGGTGACGAAGCCTTTTGAGAATGGCCAAGTGGCAGGCGCCCCGCTGACTTAGCTTGCCACATGTCGATCACTTTCTTCACCGTCCTCCTTATTATCAGTCCGACGTCCGTCTGTGCCCACCCAACTTCGTCCGCCGGCAACTTCGTCCCATTGACGATCGACCACGTTTCGCTCTAGTACGTTCGTCATTGACTAATTCGCAAGCTGATGATCTGAGGGTTTCGATGCACACGTATTAGCCTATCAGTCTCTCCGAAAATATTTAATGCATGGTAGTGCTTTAGTATGTGTGGATTTTTGGGTATCATGCATGCTTTGGATTTGGTCTTGTAAAGTGGTTTGTTGTCAACATGTGGGACTGTCTTAAGGATTTGAAAACACATAAATTTCATTTGATTTTGTTTGCATGTACCTTTTGTTGATAGTGTAAAATTTTCTACCTTGAATGGAAATATATGGTTTTGATCAAAATAAATAACTCATTGTTATTTGTATCTTTGCTAGAAACATTAAATACCTTCTTTTCTAGAGATATTTTTAGAAATATATAATTAAGAATTTTAAAGCCTAAGATTATATATGTATATATATATATATATATATATATATATTCTTTTATTATTTCTTAAATTCAATCAATTATTTATTTACTGTTTCAAGTAAAAAAATAGTTAGTTTTTGTCTTTGTCTTTGTAAATCATATTAACATTCTAAAAAAATGTATTTAATAAATATTCAATTTCAGTATTACAAGTAAATTAGAAAACATCTTAGAATAGACCTACTTGAATAAGAATAAGATGATAGTATAAGTTTGTAAAATAAGCACATGTAAAAAAATGTGAGTTGGTGCATGAATGTGAGTTGTTTGTATTTTAAGAATTGTGCCTATGAAAAAGTAATGTGTTAATATTTAAAAATTGACAATTTTGAAAAAAAATTATAGAATACATTATAAAATCATTTATTAGAATTGAATAATAATAATAAAAATTAAATAAAAAAGACATAAAAACATAAAAATGGACTGAAGTGATATAAAAGATATGGAGAGAATAGATGGTACAAAGTGCAAGAATGAATATTAATTATCATTACTTTAAAAATCAAATATATATAATTTTTTGAAAATATAATTATGTACTAATTGATTCTATGAAAAAATGATAAGAAAATTTGATTGGTTAAGTATTCCAAATTTTAATAATAAATAAATAAATAAATAAATCAATAAATAAAAACTCTTAAACTTTTTAAGTATGAAATATAATAAAAATATTAACTATTTCAAATACAAATCATACATAAATTTAAATATTTTTTAAGTTAACTTATTTAAGAAATATTCTGTTTTAAAATAAATAATATTCTAAAATTAAAATCCATTCTTTAAATCTAATGTGATATCTTAGAGAATTAATAACTTAAAATTTACATAGAATAATATAGAAAGGACATTTTTCTTCTTTTCTATCTTTATGATTAAGTGGCACCTTTAAAGGTAGCTTTCTAGCACTACCAAAGATTAGTCACATATCTAAAAACAAATTTTTTTCTTATAGAAATGGTATTTTATAATCTTTTTGAAGGTTTCAACAACTTTATTAATTCTTAAAGACAATAAATCTTAATAATTGGATCTTGTAAACTTGTAGTTTTTTTGGCTTTTCAACTCTTCTATTAAAAATCTTGCAATTTAATTTTATTAAAGTATTCTTATAAGAATACATTAAAGAATAATTTGGAATCAAAGTCTATTTTGTGGTTCTATGTAGGTCTTGTAATATCACTAATAATAAATTAGTATATTTTAATTTTTTTTTATCTTTAAAAGTTTCAAAACAAAGTTGTAATGATGTCAATTTTTTTAGTTGCTATAATTTATAAAATCTTAATAGCAAATATAATATACAAATTTCTTTCAACATTGATTTTAAAGAATATAAGCACTTGTATCAAATTTGAGGTGGTTATATCAAATATCCACCTCTTATATCAAAAGATATTTATAATTTGTTTTTGCAATACAAGGAATCAAGTATGCGGCAAGTATTTTAATCCACAATTTTTCTTTGTTGCTTTCATTCTATTCTTCAATGGTATATACTATACTATAATTGCCCATTTTATATACCTTAAAAATTTTATCTCATCTTTGGCATAATAATTAGTCTTGAATGCATTTGTAGTCAGGTCTAATATGATACAAAGCTCAAAGTTTTGCATGCAATAAACTTGGCTTTGTGAAGTACATGGTGATAGGTGACGGAGCTTTAGTAATCTTCAGAATCATTGAAATTTGATGCTTTTATGAGACTTGGATCTTGATTTTTTATCATGGACATCCATATTTATATTAATAATTGTCTAAATAATATAAATAGGTAGAAGTGGATTAAAATAAGTAAATTTAATAATATCTTATAAAAAAACTTCATAGAAGCTTCATAAACATGGCTTTGACTTTATACATATTTGTAGTTGATTGATAGTTTAGAAACTTAACCAATAAGTTAGCAACATATTATACATGTTAGTAGCTTATGGTATAAGCTACTATGTGGTGCACATATAGAAAATTTGCCTTGCAAGTTGAGATATGTATCTTATAAGTTAGATACATGTTGAAGGTCCTATAGAACCTTGCTTTGTAATGCCTAGTTAGATAGTAAATATGGAGGCAAGAATGAAGCCTTTTTCATTCTTATGAATGCCTTTCTATTCTTTAGACTTGTTTCAAGATTTTTTTTTTTTTTTTTTTTTTTTTTTTTAAACCTTTTTGTCTTTATTAATAGCTATTTTAAATTAATATTATATTATTTTAAAGTAATTTTTTAATCTTGTCAAATAACATAAGGCTGTATTGATCTTTTAGTCCTCTGAGATTTATATTCTTGATATTTTGATAAGAATACTAACTCATTGTTTTTGATTTGTTTTTATAAATGAGTGGATTACCTCACTTCTATTGTTTTATTTTGAAGATTGTAGATTATCTATCTTTAAACTAATATCTTAGTTTTTTAATACTATTTTTTTTTTTTTTTAAAGAGAGTGGACTATCTCTCTTTGTGGAAATTTTCTTTAGATATTAGAAGTTATAGATTATTCTCCTCTGATTTGACTTGTGAATTTATTTGAATTGCCTATAGAAAGAAAAATTATAGATGCTACTCTTATTAGAAGTAAGAATGGATTTGCAACTATTGCATATCTTTACAAATTTGTTAACATTCTTAGAGTCAAAATTTTACATATTTCTAATATAAACCATAGAATTATTATTTTTATGCCTATAGAGAAAGTCAATAATGATATTTAGATTCTATGCCAAAAAGTTATGCAATTAAGAATAGCGAGTATATCAAGTTTACAATTGAATGCAAAAAGTCTTGGTTCTACAATTATGAGGGATGTAAGATAAAGTATGTCAAAGAATTTTAATGGAATAAGATCAAAGTTTTAAGGATTTCTTATCAAAGATATTAATCTTGAAGAATTTATGATATAATATTAAATTAGAATGGCTAAACTTGAAGAATAAAGATGATATAATATTAAACTGAAATGGGTATTGCGAAAGACAAGAAGATTAGAAAGAATTAAAACAAGATTAAAGATTAAAAAGGTATTGACAAGAATGAAGAAGGCTTCATTCTTGCCTCCATATATATTCTTTAACTAAAAGCTACATAGTAATATTCTATAGGACCTCCAAGAAGTATCTCACTTATAGGATATATGATTTAACTTACAAGGTAAGTTATCTACATATGTGCGACATAGTTATCTTTTTCTACAAGCTTTTAATATGTATGCCATGTGATTAACTTGTTGACTAAGTTTCTAGCCTATTAATTAATTATAAATATATATAAAATCAAAGTAGTGCCTATGAAGCTTTTAAGAAGATTCTTTAAAAAATATTATAAAATAAATCTATTTTTATCTACTTCTATTTAATCATATAAATAATTATTAAAATAAATATGTATGCCAGTGCCATTATCTCTCTTTTGAAAAACGAATTCCACAAAGAGCAGTCATTATATATTAAAAATATCTAAAATGTGACAAATTGTATTTGCAACATACCTTAATCATTGTTTTTTTTAAAGATGGTTGATAGGTTTTTTTAGCCATTGATAGTGTCTCATATCAAGGCGGAAAGACCATCCTATTATTTGATTTTTGTTTAGGCCTTCATAACTCCTTTCAAATAAAACATTTAAAACATTGTCAAGAGTCCATTCTACCACTAATAAAATCACCAAATATCAAAAATCTCTTCCAAAGTTGTGATATCAAACATATTGTATCTTATCATCTATTCAAGAAAAGATATGTTGTTCTTGAGGATCTTCATCTTAATTATGTTATCTAAAAGATTGTGACAGTTGCAATATTTCATCCAATAACTCAATAAATGATAATTCTTGAGTTGAATTTGTTGGTTGTTGATTTTCTATCTCTTTAATAATTCAAATACACAAAAGGAACAAAGAAGATAGAATGCTTTTCTTGTATCTTATTTCTTTTATAGAAAAGATTTTCAATTCTTCATCTTGATTTTGATAGATGTTGTTGATGAAAAACTAAATCTTCTTTGCTGCATTTGCAAGATTCTTTATTAGCTTCCATGTGCATTCACTAATATCATATTCATGTCAATGAATAAGATATTCCAATCTATTTTTTCATCTTTGGCATACAATCTCGTATCTCTAAATTTTTGTAATACACGACAAACATGAAATTCATGTTTTTTGGTGTTTTTAGAATAGATTAGAATGTGGTCTAAATAATAGACAATAAAATCATCAAGATATTTACAAATTTTTTTATTTATAAGATTTTGAAAAGTAGCTAGTACGTTTAAGCGTCCAAAAGGCATGACATTATATTTGAAACGTCTATACGTAGTTTGAAAAACAATCTTCTATTTATCTTTTTTTTTAATGCAGACCAAGTTGTATGC